ATATATTGTGAAAGTAAAGTGCACCTATACATCACCGGTCTGTGTTCAATATTGGACTAACAATAAAAACACTAAACGACGAAAATATCTTCATGAGCTAAGTCTTTGTGAAACCTTTCTGTCTTGGTCTGCAATGCGCTATTCAATTTAGTATCCCTCCCTCCACCCTTTTGAGGACCTAAATTCTTCAGGGAAAATAATGCAATAATTCTTCATGGGTCAGGATGCTTTCTTCAGGGGTTCGGATGGTTTCTGTTTTGTTTTCTTCAGGGTTCAGACTACTCTAAAATTCTTTACTATAGTAATGGCCCCAAAAAATAGAGGTCCTCAAAAGGGGGGTACGGATATTATATGGAATAGCTCATTGATTGGTGTATTTCGATCCTGGTTAAGCGTTTACAAAACTCAAATCTTTTGAACAGGTTGTAGTTTAACATGAACTCTTTCCACCTGAAAAAATGCAATATCTTTCTCTACATAGCTTGCCTCATTGATAAACACTGGTATAATCTCCTGTTCACCTTCATGCTTGATGGTCCTTTCATCAAATGTCATGAAAATAGGATCACCACGCTTGATAGGTACCCAATCCTTGCCATCGAGTTTGGGATGAATCATGGTCATGACATTGCCATTATTGTCTTTGGGATATTGCATGATTCCACTAAATTCAAACACCTCGAGATCTTCACCATTGAGTTCAAGGCCGTTATTGAACTCCTCAATCACATCCAGAACTTTTCCAATCACTGTAGCAGTCTGTTGATACATGTCGGCTTTGATGGTGCCGTGAGAGACTGGGCCATTTTCTAGTCCCAGTCCACTTCCCGTCAGCTCTAGAATTCCACCTCCTGAGTTTTGGCCTTTTTTGTCTTTCACTATAGAAGTCGACTTAAAGCTTAACACTCGGACTGGAAAATCCAAATTCTCCTTGACTTTAGCCAAAATCTGTAGTGTCAGCATGTTATCAGCGGCCGATGGGGTAAGAATTAAGGTAACTCCTGTGTTGGCAGTCGTGTCATGTACATCTATAAGATAGTCGACATTTCTATCCAAAACCCACTTTTGAATTTCACACGCCCTTTGAAGTTCGTAGACATTTTCATTCGGGATTACACCTTCCTTGGAAAATACACGGTTAAGGTCTGTGTCGATGTATCGCACACATTTTTCGATGGCGCGTGTGTTGTTTAAGCCAAGATGAGTGTTAAATGATTGGCGTTTGATTGATGTGTCATTGGTCATCCAGTGACGAACTAGGTAAATCCCTAGCAACTCGTTACCATGAGTACCACCGGTTATGGCAACGTTTTCTAAGGGTTTAGCTTTTAAGGTGGATTGTGCCATCTGCAAAAAAAGGCATCRCATAGATCAACATCTTTTAAGTTAACAATATCTTGTAGCAGTCTCAGGGAGGATCGATTGTAGCCAGGAATCGCTCTTTTTTGGCATTGCCCGGTTTCCTACAGTGGGAGAATCGGTACAAGTCCCTAAATTCAATTGTTAATCATGTTAATCAGATCAAATGTGAACGTTTGAAAGCGTTTATCAAGTTAAAAGGAAGTGTATGGGGATTTGGAAAAAATCGGGACGCAGTTTCCGGCATCGCATAAGATTTTCTTTGGAAGCCGCGGAAAAGATCCACAAAAACTCTCGAAACAAGGGAGAGAACGGAAAGAAACTCAAATCCAAATAGCGTCACCACCACATGACACCAGTAATCGAATAATTAA